AGCAGCTCTGTACCTCATCTGGTGATCCCACCTTTGAAGAGGAGACACAATGCTCACCTTAATTTTGCTGGTAGCAGCTTATATCTCATTTATCATTTTCACCACTAATTGGAAGCTGCCTTGGGAATTCAACACCAGGCATTGCACCTCTGGGTGGAGGAGGGAAAAGTGTGAAGCTGGAGTGGGCTGGAACCAGGTGTGTGGCCTGTCCAGGGTCATCTGGAGAGTGGTGAAGTGCTCTGAGCCCTCTCAGGAGCCCTGAGTCTAGGAAAGGATGTCTGGTGGTGTCAGTCTCTAGGGCTTGTTTTCAGAAAGTTCAGTTACATCATGCTTTAGGAGGAAAAGTAGGCTTTGAATGCTTTTCCTCTGAGGGTGATTGAAATTTCTTCAGTGAGTAGTAGAGAAAGAAGGGCAGGTTCCTCCTCATCACACAGCTGGAGTGACTGGCTGTGGCAGATGCAGGCTGGGCTTTCCTAGCTTTGGAAGATGCCTGTAAGAGATGAGGTGGCTTGTAGAGAATTGAGTCAGTGGGGCAGTAGGAATGGCCTTAAGGGAAAACCATGAGGGAGAGGAAGTGCCTCCTCTGGGTACCTTTGAGAAGGCTTACAGTGACTCTGCTCATGAGAAGGCCTCTTATGCCTCTGCCTTCATGGCTCTTAGGGTTCTGATCTTGACATCAGCAGCCCTAACCACTCCCTTTCTGTATGTCTAGTCAGTATTTTTTCCCCTTTGGTGTTTTATGAAGCCATATCAGTGAATCTGTATCATCTTTCCTACTCGAGTGGCCCAAAGCCAGCCCCCAAACCTGGTAGTCCCTAAAGCCTAACAGAACAGGTGGAACCTGCCAAGTGAAAGAAATTTGGCTGAGAGCTCCCTTCTGATCCCATAGTCATGTCCTTATAGATAGGAGCAAGTTAGCTTTCCCAAAGAAAATGTCCTAGAGCTTTTGATGATTTTACTTAAGGATGTGAACTTTTGTTTCTCCACCTGGCCTTATGAAAGATTCACAGGAGCAGTCTTGAGGCGCTTCATAGCCTACCTTCCTAAAAACAGCTACATTAATTTTTGTTTCATTTTCCCTAAACCAAAAAAATGAATGTTTGATGTCTGTTTAATATTTTGGAAGGATCTGTGCAATGGAAATGTCATTTCCCTAAAACTGATGATGCAGAGGCTGACGCTACGGGAAAACCTCATGGCTGGGGATGGGCAACTCTGTTCAATGGGATCTTTTTTGGTTTGATGTTCCCATTGTTTTCTCAATTCTGGGAAGCCTAGTACAATGGTACTAATGTAATCACTGAAGCCTTTTCTTAAAATAAGGGAAGGGGCCAACCCTGGATTAAGCTACAAATTCTGGGGACTTGGGGGTTTGCTGTAAACCCTAACAGTGGGGTTTGGTTCATCATGTAAATGTAACTTTGATTTTTTTTTTTTTAAGGACTGACTGGCCTTTCACATTCTTGTATCCCTCATGCTTACCATCTCAGCAGGCCTGAGAGGCAGGGTCAGTTTGGGTGTTAATCATGAGTGTTGCTTCTGCTGTGGATCTGAGGAACATGGGACGTTGCTGAGACTGTGGGATGGAAGTGAGCACTGATGAGAGGGTGAGATCCTTGCCCTTGTTCCAGAGGGGACTTATTCTCTAGCAGTGGAATGCTGTGGTCATTTTCTCTAGCATGTTCCCTTGGGAAACCTAGGTTTGCTATGAATCTGGCTGAGAATCTAAATTCTGTGCCTTAGAAACAATTTGCACTTTCCCAAATTGTGCCTGGGACAGCCATACGATTTTTCCCACCAAACAGCTATGCAAACAGAAACCAGTTCAAAGGTGGCAGTCATGCTTAGATAAAAAGTGAAAGGTGAGGCAGCAGAAATGCCTTTGAACGGTTTTCTGTAGCTAATTCTCTACTTTTCTATGCAGTGCTAGGTGTTTTAAGTTTTCCATAGTATTGCTTTTGAGTTACAGTATATCCTGAGTTACTCCTCTGCTCTGACATTGTTGCTGAAGAACTAGTTTATTGTTAGCCAGATGTCTGAAAGGTTGAGGGTGGAGTGGTTTGGCATTTCTGTTTTAAATAAACATTTAAACTCTCAATCAGTGCTATGCCTCAGTAAGTCTGTGCATGGACCTTAGTCACTGGGGATAAAGCACTCAGATTCCAGGCCTTCATGAATCTTTAATTCAGTGGTCTGTAACAGAAACAATGCAAGGGACATTTGCACAGAAATAATCTTTGCCTCTTTCCAATTTCTTTTTCTTGCTAACAGAGTAATTTCTGCTGCTACAGCTTTTCCCCACCCCCAGGCTTCTGAAATACAGTCTTAAAATGCAGAGAGAGAAAAAAACAAGTCATTAGAAGAGGAAGGATCACTTCTTGTACTTGTCTCCCCAATCACAGTGGGCTTTTTCAAGTGATAATGCCAGTTTATGTTTATAAAACTGGTTTCCCTCAAAGAGGGTGAACTGTATTTTGGTCTCCCTGGCAGAGCACAGCCAAGTTACAACTTCTCTTGGCTGAGCATTTCACTAAAATTTAAAGCAAAAGTAGCCTTAAACTCACATTTCATTTGGTTTGCCATATATTTGGAAACATTCATAAGCAGACCAACTCTGGAACGAAGATATAAATCAATTCTTTCAAATGAGTATCCCTGGGCCTAAAAAGAAGTATTATTCATGATAGTGTCAGGGCAGAGTGGGCTGTAGTCAGGGCTACAAAACATGTTCCTTCCTGCTGCAAAGCCAAAAACCACTTATTGCTTCGATAATTAACTATGGAAATAAACATACTGCTCGCTAAACCTCACAGAATCATAACATCAGGGAGAAGAGCACTTTATCACATCTCTGCTACCTCCTGTGTAGTTGTGAAGAGTGAGAAATTGCTGACAAAAAGGAAGTGTTCGCCAGGAGGTCCTGTGCTGCCTTGAACACACTGCTTTTAAGAAGCGCCATCTTAGCATGTCTGCACATCCTTTTAAATGAAGTGAGTTACCGTGAGATTTTCCCCACTGCTTAACCTTTTGAACTTTAATATGTCTAATATTTACTTGGGTGAAGTAGTATAATACATGGACTAACAAGCAGCATTTATTTCTCCATGCATCATCCTCCACTATCCTGGAAGAGACTTAGAAAAAGGTTTCTAACCTCTTCCCAAAGATCAGATCAAGCTAAATTTAAAGACTAATAGGCATTGCTAACATAATGAAGGCCAAAGCATGTTGAGATTGAAGGGAACATTAAGACCTTGACTATTGTTTTATTTCTCTACAACAACGAATAACTGCTTCCTGTGTCTATATGAAGCACACACACACACAAAGCAGTTGTTCTCCCTAGAGGGCTCTTATCTGTGACCTTAATACCATCGTCCAGGGGTTCCCAACCCAGTGGCTATCGGGCAAGGCAGATAAGGCAAAATAAGTGAAGCAGGCCAGGTGGGGCTGTGGTGATCTGAATCCTCTCTCCCTTCTCAAGGAGCAACCAATTCTGAACCTCATGCAGTTAGTGCTGTGCAGGGTGAATGGCCCAGTGTTTCCAGAACTTCAAGTTATGTAAGAGATGCTTCATATCCCAATTTTTAAATGTCGGATTATATTTTTAGTGCTGTGCCAGCCAAATAAAACATAATTGTGGGGCAAAGCAGTCCACAGGCCACTACCACTTGGTAACATTGGCCACAGCTCACTCTTGCCATCTGTTGTTCTTGCCATCAAGTGTAAAACAGTGTACCTCATTAAACTTGCCTGGGGAATGTCTCTATTGGATGAAATAGCCAGTGTGTCTATGTGAGGTTTCTTTAGGTGGCCAACCAAAAGCCCTGGTATGTGATACCTCTTTTTCTCAGCAACAATTAAGAGCATACCTCTTTTTCTTTGTCACAAGAGCATAAAGGATTTCAATATATGCTGTTTTTAAGATACATAATTTTTTTTCAGCCTACTGTCTTATAGCTTTACAGCTAAAGCCTTAAACTCACATTTCAAATTGGTTTGATCTGTTGGCCCAGCCACTCAGCAGAAGCTACAGTGGAAATGAAACAGGAGTGAGTAGCCATCTGTAGTTGAGTAAAATACATTTTTGTTGTCTGCCAAGTCGCCTTTGCCCAGGTCAGGCTGGGAGACTTTTTTCCAGTATTTTAAAGTAACAATTTGAGTAATGCTCATACGACAATGACCCTACTAGTACTTCAGGTCTGTTATTCTAGCTTCATCCTATCGGAACTAGTACTACCCCTTAACAAGTCGAGGACTCACTCATCATTTGTTTAATTTAAACTCCCCAAACCCATTTATTGAGGGCCTAATTATAAAGGTTACTTGCACTAGGCATGATGCGTCACAAAAAATTAAAAAGATCTGGTACCTTTTCCTTCAAAGTTTGCTTTCTGAAATAGAAGTTAACTGTGGTCTAGTCAGCAGGGACATGTGACACAGCAGTGTCCCAGCTTGCTTTGATGGTATATTTTGCTGCCTCATTTAAAGCGCCATCCAACCAACTTACCAACCTAATTTGAAAGCAGAGTGCTAGCAACAGCTGAAACTGAAGTTTCTTCCCCTTCTTTAACATTAGAAAAGAGCAACAGCTGAAACTGAAGTTTCTTCCCCTTCTTTAACATTAGAAAAGAGCAAGTATAGAGACATAGTGTGTTTCCCCCTCCCTACCCTGTGAAATAGACAAAGATGGGTTTCCTTTATGACACAATACACCATAGGGAGGGTTTAGGATATATTGGCACTCTTACATACCTGTATTGGCTTTTAGCCAGGACCATGCACCAGGGAGGTCAAGGGTAAACTTCCATTTGCCTTACAATGAAATCCTGTTACCTTTTATAAGAGATATCATTTGGATATCATCCTCTGACACCAACTCATCCTAATGAGCCAACTTTTTGCAAGAGCAAGAAGAGTTAGCAGGAACCACAGACATGCAGAGGCAGTACCAAGAAGGCCAAGCAAATGCTGGCACTTAGCACAAACCACAAGTCAGCTTGTGAGAAGACAGCTTTAATGCTCACTACTCAACGACTTCACCCATCAGTTCTTAGGGCAGTAACATAAGGCACACAAGCCTGAGGTGGTAATTCAGTGGGAAGCTGAGGTTTCCTTCTGCCTCCTGCTGTTTAGCAATGGGTTTCTCCTCTCTGATTTCAGCTCTGCAGGCAGGGGTGGGGCATGTAAAAGTTTTCATTCTTCCTGCTTTGCATCAAATCATTCTACTCCCACTTACTGCTGAAGAGAAGCTTTCTGAGACAAATGAGGAGGCCTCCACTGTTGTCTACTCAACTGTAATGCTTCCTTGGAGGCGGAGGACGGTTCTTGATGGTCTTACACTTAGGAATGTGCCGCTCAGCCACCTTGGGAGCAAACTGACGGCTACAGTGAGGACATTGAATATAGTCTGGATTTTCTGCAAGCAGGATGTGAGGCAAGTCTGAGGGGTTTCCACCTTTGGCAATTACCTGCTGGACCTCTCGAGCCTGACGGAGGGTACGGATGAAAGATTCATGCTTCTGTCTCCAGTTGCTCTTCCGAGGAGGTTCAGCCTATGAGTAAAAGGAAGACTGATCATTCAACTTGGCATTTATCCCATCTGAGTCTCCACTAGAATGACAGTAAGAAAATAAGGGTGTTAATCTGCAAGGTCAAAGAGAACAGGAAAGGAGCAGCAGGGAAAACTGACTTGCCTGAGTGGAGGCACTTAAACTAAGGCCCTGCCAGCGGGGACAAGTCCCAAGAGGCAAACCACGTTCCCCAGCAGAGACCTGGAGAGCCTCAGTGCTTGCCAGTGCCAGGCCCCAGGGCTGCTATCCCACCCTGCACATCCAGCACTCTCACGGAGCAGGAGTTTATTCTCTGGAGAAATTGAACCAGACAGGTGTCAGACTCAGGAAATACAGGCACGGGGAAAAAGGGTTCATCTTGGAGCTGACAATAGGGATTAAGTGCAAGTGTACATGATGAATTGCAGAACTGTCAGCCTCCTTGCCCCACTCGACTCCCAGAGTACCAGGCACATGGGCACCTTCTTAGGAGACTGAAGGGTTCTCTGGATGTACCGAGCAGGAGACAGAAAGCCATCAGACACTGGCTCTGGGGCACCCCAATTAAAAGGCTCACTATTTGATAACCCTAATATGAAAGTCCTTAGTCAACAAGCCCCACTTAAGCTTATATGTGAATGGACAGATATTTGAGTAAGCTTGAACAAGAGAGACCAAAACAAGTACACAAGCAAACACACACACATGAAGCAGCAACAAGGTAGGGAGCAGAAGAAAACTTTACAAAAAACCATAATATAAGCAAAGGAGTATTAGAAGAAATTGTGTCCATAAAACAAGAAGAATATATACACTATGAGAAAGGAACAACCAAAGAACCAGAACTATTATAAATTAAAACTTTGAGAGCTGAAAATAAAAATTGAAATGTTATAAAATAATGTCAAGAAAATTATGCAGAATGGGAAAAAAGATCAAGATGGAAAGTAGAAAATATTAAAACATTAGGAACTCAATCCAGGAAGTCCAACATCTGACTAATAGACATTCTAAAAAGAACAGAGAGGACAAGAGGAATTATTAAAGAAATAATAGTATAAACATTCCTAGAGTTACATGTCACTACTCTTGAGATTGAAATAACCCACCAAGTATCCAACACAATCATTGTAAAATTTCAGTTTCAGAATGAAGAGAGAAACCTGTAAGCTTTTAGAAATAGAAAAAGAAAAAACAGAATGGTTTCCTATAACAGAGCAAAAATCAAATTGGCATCAGCTTTCTCAACAGTAACACTGGTTGCTAAAAGCTAGTAGGAAAATGCCTTAAAAATTCTGACAGCCTGGCCGGGCGTGGCTCAGTGGTTGAGCATCGACCCAGGATCCAGGCGATCAGGGTTCGATTCCCGGTCAGGGCACATGCCCCGGTTGCAGGCTCGATCCCCAGTTGGGGGCATGCAGGAGGCAGCCGATCAATAACTCATCATTGATGTTTCTCTCTCCCTTCCCTCTCCTTTCCTCTCTCTGAAATCAAAGATATATTAAATAAAAAAAAATTCTGACAGAAAATCATTTTCCACTCATAATTCTGATCAAATCATCAGTCAAATACAAGGCTATTATATAGACATTTTCATTCTTTCCAAGACAAAAAATATGTCTCCCATGCATCTTTCTTAGTAAGCTTCCACAGGGCAAGGAGTATAGCAAGAAAACGGAAGACACAGGATGCTGGAAACGTGGCACCCAACAGAGGAGAAGCAAAGAGAAGTCCTAGGACAACAGATCTGCACCAGGCCTGGAGAAGAACCAGTCCAGACTAGAGCAGGAAGAAAAAGAGTGGTCAGAGGGAGGTTTCCAGAATTTAAAAAATCAAACTCATGGATTGTGAGGGGTGTTTGAGCAATTACAGAAACATTAACAGGTGTCTGACATCAGATGGATCATTTAGGGGGGGAAATTTATAGAGAGAAGGTATGTAGGAAACCAAGCAAATGAAAACATGAGTCAATTATTAACTCCAGGTGCATGTGGGCAGGGCAGAATTTGTTCACTCATCAGTGAACAAAATTTATGTGGTGGTTATAATGTAAAAGCTGACTACTGGTTTAATGCAAAAGTGTGATTCCACTACAATGGAAGGATAAGGGGAGAAGTAGATGGAGAGGGGAAATGAGAGCTTAACCTGCAGCATCTATAAGAGGAACTCAACAGATAATGCACAAAGTTGATAAATCAAGAAAGTAAGTGTACTATTTAGAAATATGGAAATGCATTCCGGAAGAGGCATCTATCAGAACTAAAGACTGCCTCTGGGGACTAGATTAGGGCTGGTGACAGATGAGGTGGAATACTGCTAATATGCATTATAAGTTACTAAGTACTAACTACATGATTATAAAAATATTCAAATATTTAGATTAAAATAAAATTAATCTTGAAGGCAAATAGCTACTTGGTGATACAACATCATTAATGACAAACACTAGGAAGAGATGTTATCAAAGGAAAAGGAAGTACCCGTCAGGAAAGTCTTACTGAAACAGACAAGAAGGCAAGAGAATCAGTGTTGGAGATGGCGTCCGGGAACCTTTCAAAGAACTGAATTAGAGGAAAGTTTGTCACCTATATGATACTTATACTTAAATTCTTCATTGTATTGAAATTTTATTCAATTAACACAATAAGTACAAAATTGTGGCCTCTGTGCCCAAATGCTTAGGGTCCAGCAGAGAGACAAGAGGTATAAGTGTACTGAAAGTTATGTGAATATGAAAGGATATAAGAAAAATTACCTGTTCTGAGTACACTAGAGGAATGAGAGGGAGACACAAAGGCACAAAGTTTGGGAATAAGACTTAGGACATTCCAAGGAGGGAAGAGCATCTCGATGCAGATCCTTTCTGCCTTGGTGTCCTCAATGCAACATATTTCCCCAAACTATTTTCCACAAAGCAAGGGTATCTGATCTTAGACACCCAACTCTTTGCTTCACTGCTCCTGTATTTAGGAATTTAAGAAACACAAGATTATTGTAGGTGCCAGGCAGAAATAAAACCACTATAGTGGGGCCCTGGCAAGGTAGATCAGTTGGTTAGAGCATCATCCCCATACACCAAGGTTACAGGTTCGATCTCTGGCCAGGGCACATACAAGTATCAACCAATGAGTGCGTAAGTAAGCGGAACAACAAATGGATGTCTTTTTCTCTCTCTCTCCCTTCCTCTTACTAAAAAAATCAATCAAAAAATGAAAACAGAATGACTCATATGTTGCTAGAAATATTAGAGATGGGTGAGGCGTTGAGATCACGTGGCCTAGGCTTTCTGGACTTTTCCAAGCTTCAATCATTTGCATGCCACATTCACTTTATCCCCCTATTCATACTTTTCTTTAAATTCATGATTCCTAGAAATCAAGGGTGTAATATGTTGTCATGTTTTCCTAATACACACTAAAACTACTAAAATAAAAAATGTCTGTCAGCATGCCACACTTTGAAAAACACTCATTTACAAAATAAGGGGCATAACCTTGACAGAGTTGGGGAGTTATTCACGGGACAACCTCCTCCAGATCTGACAGTCCACAGGTGCCTGTGAAGTTCCCCTAAGCTTATCATGGAAACATCCCAAAGTCCTTACTTTTTACAACCGAGTTTTTCTGCAGCTAGGAATGTTAACTGAAAATAAAGTCATGTACCGTCAAGGTGTTTACACTCTAAATGGAGAGAATAATTCCAAACTTAATTATGTTCCATGTACTTACTCTGAAGGTGTATCAACACTGAGCTAATCAACACTGAGCCTGGATGGGCGTGGCTCAGTGGTTGAGCCTCGACCTAGGATCCAGGCGATCGGGGTTCGATTCCCGGTCAGGGCACATGCCTGGGGTTGTAGCTCGGCCCCCAGTCAGGGGCATGCAGGAGGCAGCCGATCAATGACTCATCATTGATGTTTCTCTCTCTCTCTCCCTCTCCTTTCCTCTCTCTGAAATCAATAAAGATATATTTAATTAAAAAAAAGATATGGTTACAGGCATGGTAACAGATTCGGAGGTGGCAAAGTATATTGCAAAGTGAAAGGAATTCTCTCAAGGTAGTGAAAAAAAGAATAGCTTTTTCCTTTATATTTTTCATGTCTTTTAAATTTTCTACAGTAAATGTTTATTACTTTTATAATCAAAAGGACACCTGTTTTTGAGTTTAGGTTTTGGAGTCATCCCAACCCAGATTTATATGCTGACTCTGCCATTTTAAGCTGTCTGTGAGCTCAAATTAACCTCTCTAAAACTTGATTTCTGAATTGATAAGAGATCATGAAATCCTCACACGGTTGTGGTGAGGGTCCTATGAAAAGCTAACCCATCACAGTAATAATCAATAAATGCTAATTCTCACTTTCTCCCTTTATAACAATTGAAATATTTGTTTAAAAAAAAACAAAAAAAAACTTACAAGGATTTAACAGGCCCTTACAATGATCCCTGCTCAAGGTCAAATCCATAAGGCCCTTGTTACCTTGACTGAGGCTGGTGCCTTCCAGTTCAAGTACTGCTCTAGTTCTGTGCCTTTGGCTCGGGCCTTGGAGGAGTCAAACACTTTCCTCTTGGAACCCTGCATCCTGCTGCAGGCGTTGGAGTGCCTCTCCAGCCTGAACAAGAGAAACTTGCGTCCACAGTGGCTGCACTCGCCCAGTTCTGGCTCTTCAGTGGAACAGCTGGAACCTGAGGAGTCTGGTGCCCTAGGCAAGTCAGAACTGCTGGCGGACCGTGGCAAAGCACTGCCTGGAGCTGCTGTAGGCTGAGGAAACTTCTCCTTCACCGGCCCTGAGGCTTGGTCTCGGATTTTGTTATCGCTTGCCCCTAGTCTCTCCCTTCTGAGCTTCTGTACCCCATAATCAGAGAACTGGAATGGATTGGGATTTTCTTGAGACTGTCCCCAAGTTTCATTCTTTCCGCTGTCTCCACTGAAGACCTCCCTAGAGCCGTATTCTGGGGACGAGACAGGGTTGTACGCAGTGTTGCCATTACCTTTAACTCTCCTCCTGGGGAGTGTCAGTCTCTGTAGCTCTCTGTTTTCATTTTCCTCAGCCTGTTCCTTTTCCTTCTGGATCCTTCTGAGTTCCTCCTCCGTCTTCTTCAGCTTTTCCCTCAGGAGAGTCTCTTTTCTTCGGATTTCCTCCTCTAAACTCTCTCCTGCAGCTTCTAGTCTTTGGATCTGCACCCACTCAGTCCTGCCGGGGTTTGCCATGGCTCTCTCCTCCTGTGTGGCAGCAACAGTACCAACCACAGATGAATTCGCCCAGTTCCTTGAACCAAAACTGCTGTATGAAAACTCCCTTGGCTCAGGGGGTCTTGGAGAAACATTCTGGTCCCCACCCATGCCAGTCTCACCTGTACTACGAGACTTCCGGTGGAACACGGGTTTCAGTGGATATGCCCGGTCCACTCCAACTCGTTTCTTTGTAAAGGGGATGAATTCCTGGTTATTTGCTTTGGGATAGCGGGATTGAGGGCCTGATGAGTAAAACAAACCCTTCGCTTGGCTCTGGAGATTGCTTCTTGGGTCTTGCTGGGTGATTCCAGCATGGTGGGGATAGAAGGAGCTCTGGGTTTTTGTGCCGGTGTTCCATTTGGAGTGAGTGTAGAGATTATTCAACATGGGCTCTTTGCTGCTCGAAAGCTTTTCCTGGGAATTGTTCCTCAGGCGCCCCATTGAGGATAGCTGGGAAGAGTCACCTTTTTCGTAGGGGGCTTGCTTAGTTGAGTGGAGCCCTGGTGCTTCCGTTTTATTGTATGGGAACATAACACCCACAAGCAGAGGTGGTGCCAATTGGAGACCAGCCATTCAGGGTCCGGATCGAAGCCTAGGGAAGATTTAAACCAGATATATGTGAGGAGTTTGTCTGAGGTTGACCCCGGTCACTAACGCAAACTGTTTCTACCTTTGCCCTATCCACATTTTATTTAAGCTTTTTAGGGACCGTGGTACCGGGTCTGCTAAAGCTTTCCTTCAATAAGCATTAGGTGAGTGCTTATTTTGTCCTGTGAGTGCTTATTAGGTCCTGAAGATAGAAAAACGAATGTGATAGAGGTGTCCCTGCCACCTCCCCTTCCCCTGTACCAGTAGCAGCTCTGCTGTACACAAGGATGCTCCTGCCATACACAGAATATCCGTACAGGTGGAAAGAGCTACTGGAAGGAGCTACTGGATCGAAGGTCTGGGACAGAACAAGCAAATTCCCCTCGCTGGCTCCAGTTTTTCCACCATAAACGGGTTCGCTCCGAGATGTACGACAGTAATTTAGGGACCTGAGGACTCCAAGTCCAGCCCCATCATTTTACAGGTGAGAAAACTGCGGCCCAGGGGCAAGTGACTGGCACAAAGAGCTCTCAGGGCTTCCCTCCTGCTGGATCCACGCTGGACTCCAAGGAGCAGAGGCCGCTCCGGGGCCGCAGCAGGTGCCCGGCCGCCAAACCCAAACCCAGACCCTCACCTCTGGAGTCTGCGCCGCGCAGCCGGCCCGAGGTTTGAAACCTGAGAAGCGGGGCCACCTGACCTGCCAGCCGCGGGCTTTAGATCCGGAACACGGAAGTCACGCACTGTCCTGGAGCGTCGGCCAGGGCGCCCCCACTGGGGACTCCGCTAAGGAGACAAGCCTTCACTCTTTCGTCCTGCGGACCCTTGGGAGGTGTAGGTGCTGACCCCATGTCGTCCCGCCCTGCCGCGTACCTGAGGCTCTCAGGGACAACTGCTCAGGGAAAACCCCGGGGCTCAGTCTTCGCGACCAAGTCCCTCCGCTCAACCGACCGCGGCGCAGGCGCCCTCAGCGGCCCCTGTTATTCCCGTTGCCTGGAGACGCGAGCGCGTGCGCGCCCAGCCCCGCCTCCGGCCGCGGGGAAATCACGCACAGGCGCAGTCGGAATGCGAAGGGGCGCGGCCCCGGAGGGGGTGCGGTCGGTCTGACAGTCTCCTGACCCGGCGTCCCGCCAACTCTGCAGCTCGCTGCCCTCGGGGAACAGGGGAGGGGACGGGAGAGGCTTTCCTGCAGCTCCATCAAAGAACTTGTATTTGTCTGAGAGCAATGACCCCAGACGCCGCGGCGCGCCCTTCTCTGGCCGAGGCAGGAGCCCCTGGCTATGCCCTGGAGTCGTTGTGCCGCAGGGTTCCGAGGTGCGCCCGCCGGGCGGGGGTGGGCCTGCTGCTGGCCTTTCTTTTTTTCCCAGGTATGGCTGTGTCATCTCTCTCTGTGCTTTTCCTCGCCAATAGCTTGGACTTTGCAGTCAAATTTTAGCAACTCGGCTAGCTTTTGTGATACAGTGTTTCACCCTCACGTGGTAACTCTGCAGTCTCTTCTTAGGACCCAAGAATGATTCAACCAAATGTGATGATAATAAAATTAACTACCAGATCAAAAATAATCAGTATAACCTGGTTTCAACACTGATATTCTATGACTTGGTAACACCAGAAGAGTTTATTTGCCTCATGCTTTCAGTTCATTTGTGTAAGCTGTTTGGAACAGGCAACTTTTTTTTTCCTGTAACTGCTTAAAAGATTCATGAACATGGAAAATAATAGGCAGCGGTAATCGGTGTTAACACTTTAGCCTGTCATATTACAGCTTTTACGTATTACAAAGAAGTTCCTTCCTGGGTCCTCAGGGTTTGGTTTTGTTTTTAATTTCTTGTTTTCTTTCCTAGTTGACTCTACTGCTTTCTCTATAGTACATGCAGTTCCAGACATTCAGAGTTCCCACTTTCCTGAATGTTCCAGTTATCTCAGCAATCAGGCCTGCCTGTCGTCAACTCCCGTAGCTCCCTTCCAGTCTGGCAAACTTTCCTAGAGTGCCTTTCCCCATCTAGACTTTCATCCTTTTTGTTTTTGAAGAAGAATAATCTTTCCCTTTCCAAGAGTTTTCTTGAATTAGGCTTTTTCAGGAGTGGAGTTCATGTTGCTAACTTCAAGTTGTATCTATTCACAACTCCACTTTGGTTTTAAAATACAGGGCTGGGCAACAGTAGGTTACAGTTGTGACTACTCGAAACAATTTCTTCTTATATTATTATTAATTATTGTATTATTTATTTGTATTACAACAGTAAACCTACTTTTGCCCACCCCTGTATGCTTATTTCCCCTGCAAAATAAACCTTATATTCCGTGACCTGCTGCCTCTTATCTTAGGGTCCCATTCATTTCTCCTTTTCTCCACAGAAGTTCTTGGTAGAAAACTTTACATTTGCTGTCCCCACTTCCTGATCGCCCCCTCATTGTCCAGTCCATTGTGGTATGGCTTCCACTCCACTTTATTTAACTTCCAGGCTGCCAGTGACCATCCAGTGACCAAAGACAAAAGATGCTACTTCTTCAGCCTACTTATTCGATACTATTGATTTTTCACCTCCTTGGAACTCTCTTCTCACTTGCTCCTGCACCTTCCTGGTTTCTTCTTTCATCTTCTTGCCCCGTCTTCTTGCAGGCCTGCGGCACTTGTCTTTTCCTCACCTGCCCCCCAAGTTTAGGTGTTCTCCAGAGCCCTATTATTCCTCATATATATGCAGGCCCAGACAGTCTCTTCCTTAATACTTTCAACCAAATGCTGAAGGTTCAGGTATCACCTATATTTAAATGATTTCCAGCTTAGCGCTCTCTTAGTTACAGACTCAAATTTCCAACTTTCCATTTAGTTCCTCGGGAACCTCAAACTCTATATGACAGAAACCAAACTCATGATCGTCTCCTCATTCCCCCAATCCACTCTTCCGTTGTTCCCTCTCATGCTGAAAGCAGCAGTCACCTTCTACCCCCGCCCCCTTTGTCACCTCTTCTCTCTAACTGGGCAGCAGGCCCTGTTGAATTTACTCTGCAGTGTCTCCTATATGACTCTCCTTTTACATTCCTACTGCCCTAGGTGAGTTCTTCCTCTCTTCTCATTGGGACGGCGTGCATCACTGTCCTAACGGCTGTGCTTGTCTTCAGCATCTGCTCTCCAAGCCCATCCTTCATGCTGCTGTCAGAATAATTATCCTAAATATGTCTGATCTTATCCTCCTGCCCAGTGACTTCTACTTTACCTATAGAATAAAGTTGAGATGCGTAATTTTAACCTGGTATCTCAACCTCTAGCCTACGTCTCAATCCCTGCCTCCCCAGGCTAGTCCAGTGGATTTCAACCCTGGCTGTGCTTTTTAGTACTACCTGGAAAGCCATTTCTGGGGATGAGACCTGGGTACTGGCATTTTAAAAGCTCCCCCTAAAGTCTTTTTTAAAAAAGGCTTACCCAAGGATATGTTTACCCAAGGATATTGATTTTTAGGGAGAGAGAGAGAGGCAGAGAGAAACATCAAAGTGAGAAGAAACCCCAACCAGTTGCCTCCTGTATGTGCTTTGACTGGAGATTGAACCCGAAACCTAGGTATGTGCTCTGACCTGGAATCAAACCTAAAACTCTTTTGGCATACGGGATGACTCTCCAACCAATTGAGTCACGTGGCCAGGCCTCCCCATAAAGTCTTAAGGTGCAGCCAGGCTTGAGAAACCCTGGCCTAGCCACACCTGACTACTGCACTTTCTTACCTCAGTGGTACTACCTTAACCCAAGCTCCACGTGTGGGAGGTGGAAGCGCATAGCATTTATAGGAGCGTACGCAGACCGCTTGGAACTAAATCCCAGCTCCATCACTTACTGGTTGTGGTTGGATAATATGCTGTTTCCTCCAAGAACATTTTCTCAGCCTTCCTAGTCAGAATGAAATCTCTGCTCCTTTGTGTTCTTGTGATATTTTCTGTTCTTGTAATAGCACAGGGCTGGCGGCTCACGCCGAGCTTTCAGTGGATGTTCACGGGATTGAATCAGCATATTGTGCATTGTATTGTCATTATTTGCATGCATATTTGTTCCTTACACGAAATAAAAAAATCTCTTTGAGGACAAAGTTTATATATCTTTCAGCTTTATATATCCTACAATGTCCTATACATAGTAGACACTCAATTGGTTTTGAATCCTATAAACTAGTTTTTTAATGAGTTTTAGAGACAGAAATAACATCAGCCAGGTACTCTTTAGCATTATTTTCAAATGTTACCAAGCAGAGCGTTCAGTGCGGCCTCCCGCCCCACCCCCACCCCTGTGCTAGCATGAAGATTCTGTGACTCTCCCGGCCGAGCCTCACTGTGTAACGGGGACTAAGGAGTGATTAGTATCCGTGGCTTCCACTGGGAATCTGTCCCCTTGCCAAGTCTCCCAACATCACATATTCCCATATGGGGTTTTATGTTATGAAGGGGTGAAATGTATACAACCAGTCCAAAGGTGGGCTCTGGTGGGCAGCCTGCAGTAGCACAGGAGGGGAATACGCACCACGAGGTCCTCTTGTACACTCATCGCCCCTGCTCCCAACTTCGGCATGACTTAAAATTTGAGGAGCCCAGCCTGCCGTGGCTCAGCGGTTGAGCGTCGACCTAGGATCCAGGCGATCGGGGTTCGATTCCCGGTCAGGGCACATGCCCGGGTTGTGGGCTCGATCCCCAGTCGGGGGCATGCAGGAGGCAGCCGATCAATGACTCTCATCATTGATGTTTCTCTCTCTCTCTCTCCCTCTCTTTTCCTCTCCTCTCTCTGAAATCAATAAAGATATATTTAAAATAAAAATAAAAAATTTGAGAACTGAAAGAAAAAGGGCAGAAAGGTTGCATGTGTTCTATTCAATTTTTGATGATGCTTAATGTTTGTCATCCGTGTCGCATCTCCAGAATTTAAGCTCCTGCAGGAATCCTTTTTTTTCACTAATGTATGTCAGCTACTAGCTGGAACTGTGCCTGACACACGGAAGGCTCTCAGTAAATGTTTATCGAATGATTGAATGTATCTCGTGTTTCTTCGTCTATGTCTCTGTTGCCACGAGGAAATGAGAAAAGGGATGCGCTTAGTGACTGAGAAGGGGTGAGGGGTAGGTCTGCAGAATCCGAGCTGACACCCTGGACAGATCCCCAACCCGAGGCTCTCCAGTGGCCCTTAAGACAAACGAGTCCTCAAATCCCGCCCTATGGGCGGGCTCTGGACCGAGGGCGCTGTCTCTGATTGGTCGGCAGACGTGATGGGCATGCGAAACAGCGAAGGAAGAGCTGCGCTCTGAGCTTCCGGGAGCGGCGGTTACGCGACTTGGCGGACCGTTGGCGTGGTGGTCGCCGGTGTTGTCCCGGCCTCCTGACTGGAGGACCAGGAACGTGAGCCAGGCACCGGCCCGGGACGTGCCCATCCGTTCCATTAGCCTTAAATGTTAGTAGAAGGGGATTCTGGTGGCGGTGTGGAAGCGACGCCCGTGGGAAAAGGAAGGGATGGAGAGGGAGCGGGGCCGGTGTGGGAAGGTAATTAATTACTTGCCCCCAAGAGGCCTCTGTGGCAGTTGCGACGCGAAGCTCCCTAGCCCAGGCGTCTTCCTGCTGCAGACTTCACACGCCCGCGCTTACGCGTGGTTCGGGGACCTTAAGGTCAGGGAGAGGTCAGGTTAAGCCTGTAGAAGTGTGGATGTGGCCCTTTCTGCCTCGGCATTGGGGGTCCTGGTATAGGAGAACGTTTACCTTCTGTTCTGGTTTCTGACAGGTCTGAGCATGAACATGGCAGAAGGGGACACCCTGATCTCAGTGGATTATGAAATTTTTGGGAAGGTGCAAGGGGTGTTTTTCCGCAAGTACACTCAGGTAGGTGGCCTACCGGCTTTGGGGACGTGCCTGAGCGCCGTGCGTGGAAACCAGGGCCCCGTCCCCGACCAGGCGCGCTGGGAGAAGCAGGCCGCTTAGAAGCTGCACGGCCAGGGTGGCTTGTGGAGCAGTGGTATGAGCATGCTTCGCAACGGGTAAAATGTAAATGGCAGGTTCCTCTGCTGTTATTTCTTTTTCTAACAGTGGTACCTGAGCACCCAGACACACATTCATGAGCTTCTCTCTTCCAAAGGGGATTGGAGGGCTGCCCCAGCTCCCCCTGTTGTGGCATCATCAAACCAATCACAGTTCCTGTAGGAAAGCTGATGTTGACCAAAGAGATGGCATTTAGATGAACTCATGGCATTTATGTAATTTATGTAATAACTTCTACAGCTGCTGCATCTTCTTCAGACCTCTTTCACTTCAGCCTTTCCCCATTCCCCCATTTAATTCATTTCTGCTCATTTTGGCATGGGGAGGAGAACTGACTTTTCCAGGGTAAGTAATGGTAACACTGAACATGGAGCCTGGTATTCCTACTGGGGTACTGGGGAGTCACCGACAGGATGAACAAACTGCTGATAGCTTCTACCTCTGCCTTAAAGTCATTAATCTTCCCTTAACATGCACACAGAAATGCAATCTCAATTTCCCTTCTGCCTTCTGTAGGGAGTTATTGGGCTATTGCCACCCAGTGTATCTCCAACCCCAAAGATAATGAGTTAAGACTGCAGAACTTTCCAAGTGTCACATGCCTGGGACTGTAGTACGTAAAATTCAACCAGAATCTTTGAAATATGAATGTTAAATGTCACGCAAGTCATTTCCTCCTGTTTCACACTCATATAAGAAGTGCCTGTTTGGGAAAAAATGTTGAAAATCATAGCAAAAGAGCTGTGTTCCAGTTACCTTTCCTACCATTTATGCAGGGTAAGGTCCTATGATTGATAGAGCAAATGGAGGTGACAGCTTAGAAGATTAATTAAAGTTGTTGAGGGAAAAGGACCAGATGGTAATATAGCCCATCTTTCTCTACTGCCATCCCTACCCCCCAATTTGGAGACAATAAAAGAATGCAGAAAAACAAATACTGACTTGGAGAACTTTAAGGAAAACGCCATCTTTTTTCGCCCTTAATTAGACTTGTAGCTTATTCTTTACTACTTATAATCACTTAAATATATATATTCATTTTAACAATTGTTTTGTTTTGCTACAGTCCGTTTGCATGTTGATATCATGAGGTCTCTTAATTAAATTTCACCAGTCCTAGAATGACTGATGAGAATACTTGAAGGAACATTTTTTAAGTTGGAATATAATTCACATCCATAAAACTCACCTTTTTAAAGTATCTAACTGAGTGGGTTTTTGTATATTTATAAAGTTGTACACTAATTTCAGAACATTTCATCACCCCTGTAAGAAACCACATACCCATTAGCATTTACCCCTTATCTCTTCAGCCCCTGGCAGTCACTAACCTCATTTCTGTCTCTATGGATTTGTCTGTTCTGGACATTTAATATCAATGGAATTATACAATATGTAGCCTTTTGTGTTTGGTTTCTTTCACTTAACATGATGTTCTCAAGGTTCATTCATATTGTAGCATATCAGCACTTAATTTCTTTTTATGGCTGAATAATATTCCATGTATGGATATACCACATTTTATATATCCATGCATCAATTTATGGGTATTTAGGTTATTTTTACTTTTTGGCTATTATGAATAATGATGCTTTGAACATTTATTTATGTACTTGTTTTTAAGCAAACATTGTTTTCAATTCCCTTGGGTATATATACCAAGGAGTAGCTTGCTGGGTCACATAGTAATATATATAACTTTTTGAGGAACAGCAAAACTATTTTCCTAAGTAGCTGTTATCATTTTACATTCCCACTAATGATGAATGAGAATTTCAATTTCTTCAGATCCTTGCCAACAATTGTTATTATCTGTCTTTTTTATTAGAGCCATCCTAGTGTATATGAAGTAGTATCTCATTGTGGTTGTTTTGTTTTGTTTTGAGGTTATCAATGATTTTAAAGGGATTGAAGTCATACAAAACATGTTCTCTGACCACAATGGAACTAAACTACAAATCAGTAACAGAAAAATAACTGGAAAATCTCCAAATATATGGAACCTATATAATACACTTTTTAAAAAGATTGTGGTAAAATATACATAATGAAGAATTTATCATTTTAACCATTTTCAGTGTACAGTTTAGTGACCTTAAGTACATTCACATTGTTGTGCTACCATCACCACCACCCATTCACAGAACTCTTCATCTCGCAAAACTGAAACTGTACCCATTTAACAACTCCTAAATCCCTCTAGCTCCCAGCAATCACAGTTCTACTTTGTTTCTATGAATTTTTCTCATATAAATGGACTCATACAGTATTCACTAGCATAATGTCAAGGACCATCCATGTTGTAGTATGTGTCTGAATTTCCTTCTTAAGGCTAAAAAATGTTCCAGTGTATGTATATATTCCCATTGTGGTTTTGTTGGCCTTCCTCTAATGAGTAAGGATGTTGAACATCTTTTCATGTGTTTATTGGTACATAAAAAAAAGATGCTGTATATCTTCTTTGGAGAAGTGTCTATTCAAATCTTTTGCCCATTTAAAAAAAATCCTCACCCAAGGTTATGTTTAGAGAGAGAAAGGGAAAGGGGTGGGGCATCAATCATTTGCCTCTTGTGTGTGCCCTGACTGTGGATCAAACCCACAACCTTTTGGTGTATGGGATGACTCTCCAACCAACTGAGCCATCCAGCCAGGGCCCTTTGCCCATTTTTAATTGAGTTACTTGTCTTATTGTTGAATTGTAAAAACTTTTGTATATTTTGGATATTAGTTCCTTATTATATTATTTGCAAATATTTCTCCTGAAGGTTTTCTTTTCACTTTCTCGATGAAAACTTTGAAGCACAAAAGGTCTTAATGTTGATGAAGTCTAATTTATCTATTTTTTCTTTTGTTGCTTGTGATTTTAGTTTATATCTAAGGAAATTTTGCCTAATCCAAGGTAATAAAAGTTCATGTTTATGTTTTCTTCTAAAAGTTTCTTCTAAAGAGTTTAATAGTTTAAGCTCTTAGCTTTAGGTCTTCATCCAGTTTCAGTTAATTTTTTATGTGGGGTGAGGTAAGGAGTCCAACTTTATGTTTTCGCACTTGGATATCCAGTTGTCCCAGCGGGGTGAGGTAAGGAGTCCAACTTTATGTTTTCGCACTTGGATATCCAGTTGTCCCAGCACCTTTGTCAAAAAGACTGTCATTTCCCCCACTGAATTGTCATGGCACCATTGTCAAAAATCAACTGACCATAAATGCAAGGGTTCATTTCTGGACTCCAATTCTATTCCATTGGTCTATGTCTATCCTTATGCCAGTACTGCACTGTCTTGATTAATGTAGCTTTGTAGTAGATATTGAAGTCAGGATATGAGAGTCCTTCAACTTTGTTCTTTGTAAAGGTTATTTTTAGCTATTCTGGGTCCCTTATGTTTCCATGAGAATTTTAGAATCAATTTGTTGATTTCTGCTATGAAGGCCGCTGGGATTTTGTTAGATATTGCATAGAACCTGTAAATCAATTTACAGAATATTGTCATCTTAATAATATTGTCTTCCAATCCATGAACATGAAATGTCTTTCCATTGTAGATCTTCTTTAATTTCTTTCAGCAACATTTTGTACTTTTCCGTGTCTTGCAGTTCTTTTGTTAAATCTATTTCTAAGAATATTACTTTGATACTGTTATAAATGGAATTGCTTCCTTAATTTTATTTTGATTATTGCTAGTGTATAGAAATACAAATAATTTTTGTATCGTGATCTTGTATCCTGCCACCTTGTGAACTTATTAGTTCAAGTGTGTGTGTATGTGTGTGTGTTCCTTAGGATTTTCTGTATAGGAGATATGTCATCTGCAAGTAGAGGTATTTTTACGCCTTCCTTCCCACTCTGAATGCCTTCTTTCTTTTTCCTGCCCTGACTAGAACCTCCAGGATAATGTTGAGTAGAAGCAGCAAGAGCAGACATCCTTGTCTTGTTCCTGATCAGAGGGCAAAAGCTTTCCGTCTTTCACCATTAAATACGATGTTAGCTGTGGGTTTTTCACAGATGCCTTTAATCAGGTTGAGGAATTCCCTTCTGTTCCTAGTTTGTTGAGTGTTTTTATCACAAAAAGACATTGGATTTGGTCAAATGCTTTTTCTTCATCTATTGAGATGGTCATCTGGTTTCTGTTTTATTAATATGGTGTACTGATTTTTGTATGTTGGCCCAACCTTGCGTTCCAGGGATAAGTCCCAATTTTTTCATCGTGTAGAATCCTTTTTATATGTTGCTGGATTTGGTTAACTCATATTTTGTTGAGGAGTTTTGCATCAGTGTTCACAAGGGATATTCATCTTCAGTTCTCTTTTTTTGTGGTATCTTTCTTTGCCTGTTTTCGATGAGGGTAATGTTGGCTTAATAGAATGATGTGGGAAGAGTTTCTTCCTTTTCTATTTTTTGGAAGAGCTTGTGTAGGGTTAGTAAAGGATTCTTCTTTAAATATTTGGTAGAATTCACCTATAAAGCCATCTAGTCCTTGGTTTTTCTTTGTGGGAGGTTTTTGATAATAATTCAGTCTCTTGTAAATCTATTCAGATTTTCTGTTTCTTCTTGACTCAGTTTCTGTAGTTTGAGTCTTCATAGGAATCTGCCCTATTCATCTAAGTTATCTAATTTGTTGACATACAGTTGTTTATAGTAATCCTTTTTATTTTTGCAAGGTTACTGGTAATGTCCCCTCTTTCATTTCTGATTTTAGTAATTTGAAACTTTGGTCTTTTTTTCTTTATCAGTCTAGCTAAAGGTCTGACAATTTTGTTGACTTTTTTTTTTTTTTAAATGTGTTTTTACTGTTTTCTAGAGAGAGAGGAAGGGAGAGGGATAGAGAAATAGAAACATCGGTGAGAGAGAGACATCAATTGGCTGCCTCCTGCATGACCCCACCAGGGATGGAGCCCTCAACCCGGGCATGTGCCCTGACTGGGAGTCAAACCAATGACCTCTTGGTTTCTGGGTCAACACTCAACCACTGAGCCACACCAGCTGGGTTTGTTGATCTTTTTAAAGAACCAACTTTTGGTTTCATTGACTTCTCTTTTTTCCTAGTCTCTATTTTATAAACTCCTACTCTAATTGTTTTATTTCCTTCTTTCTGCTTGTTTGGGCTTGGTTTGCTCTTATTTTTCTAGTTTCCTAAGGTAGAAGTCCAGGTTATTGATTTGAGGGGACTTTCTTTTTAGATTGAGGATAGAGTTGGTGAGTATATTTCTTAAAATGTTTCCAGAATATGGTTATGAGGGAGAATTAGCTTTTTGGAATTTTCATAGGAAAAAAAATGCTGTTTGTTTAGACAGATATTTAGAACTGAAAATGAGTCAGCAACATTATGCCATCATTTAAAACACAAAAACAGAATCAAGTGCACAAATAAAACCTGTAGGAAATTCCCATTCTCAACACCAGTCAAAGTTGGAAGTGTTTTGTTCATTTTCAGTTCAGATAAATCACATTGCAATTTAAAGACTTATTTGACTGTTACAATCTCAGGCTCAAAACTCAACACAATCATTCTTACAGCTAGTTACCGTATAAGGTAACACTAAGACCTAGGGCTAGCCAACTCCCTGGGTTAATTTGAAGCAAAAGAGTGTAGTTGTTATACAGAGTCTGTTGCATGTGGAATCTTCCTCAAAATCCATTCTCCACATTTTTTTTATGCTGCCATATTCCGCACTTAAAGCATGCTATGGGTATCTCCTATTTTTCTTCATTCCTTAATTTCCTCTGTATCCCTTAAATTATTTGACTGCATTCTCTTTTGTTCATTATGCTTTATATCTTTGCTTTGAACATATGATTTGATGGATACTTCAGTTCCTCATCAAACATGATTTTGCTGTGCATAACATTTTCTTTGGCCAACTCCAGCAATTTCCCGCATTTACTAGGTCACTACTCTAGCATTTGGGCATGCAATAATGTTAACTTTAACTCTATTTTCTTTTGTAGTCCAATCCCTTTTATTTAGATAGATTACTTTAACAATAACTTTTATAATATCCTTACTTGGAAATTTTACAAAAATAAAATTACCTCTAAAGCATTGGTACCTTTCCAAATGTTCGGCTATTCCACAGTTTAATAACTTACAGGAAAAACACTGGAAAAGCTAAGCAAAGAGCAACTACAATGATTAGATGGGCTTCATAAGTTTATTCAACTTTAAAGGTGTGATTATTTAGACAGAAGAAAAGAAAGTAGAGTGCAAAACCTAATAGTTATGTAATCTCATGAAACTTTGGTTTTCAGAGGCTGATCACCAGTTGCTTTTCCCTTCTCTAGGAGGATGACAGAAAGTGGGCTTTGGATGTAACATAAAGACAGTGGGCTTGACAGTTTCTCTAAAGGGAGAACGGTGGAATGAGTTGCCCAGGAAGTTGTGAAATGCTCTTTCATGATCTTTAAAGCTGTAACAGACACTTACTCATCTGGATTTGTTTAGGTGTGGTCTTGGTTAAAGACAAAGAGAAGAATCAGATAACTTCATGCCTTTTCTATTTAATATACCCAGTAGATTCTTGATTAGAGAAGGGAAAATGTACAAGATACAGCCCACTATCCTAACAACATTTAGCCTTAGGAAATCATTTTGAAAGCATCTGATTTGTCTTAGTCATTAGTACTACATAGTGAAAAATTCTAGTGCCCGGGTTTTATAGGGTAGGAGGAGGAAATGAAGTGAAGTGGCCAACACTTCATATTAAAATCAGCAATGAGATTCTTCTTGCTGTTCTGTTTTGACTCTCCTGGACAATATTAAATTAGTTTCAGTGGCTTGATTTTAAGCCAAGATTCTGGCAACAGATTGTAGTCTCACTTTGTTTTGTTTAATCTCACTGGATTTCTCTCTCTTGTTTTTTTCTTTCCCTTAGGCTGAGGGTAAAAAACTGGGATTGGTAGGCTGGGTCCAGAACACTGACCAGGGCACAGTGCAAGGACAATTGCAAGGTCCCACCTCCAAAGTGCGTCATATGCAGGAATGGCTGGAATCAAAAGGAAGTCCCAAATCGCACATTGACAGAGCAAACTTCAACAATGAGAAAGTCATCTTAAAGTTGGATTACTCAGATTTCCAAATTGTAAAATAATGACCTGAATTTAAATGTTCCAAGAGAAAGTCAGTGGTTTTGTTTTTTCTTGTTAATAGAGATAGAATTATTCTGAGTTTAATATTAGAATTTGTCAGTAAGTTATTTTAGTATCAGACACCTGAATATTACTGTGTATATATGTATAATGGAAGGAATAATTACAACTGTACACAATTCTAATAAAACACATCAGAACCATTTGTATAGGGTGAAATTCATTTTGAGCAAAATAAGAGATATTTACCCAATAAACATCTGTGGGAAGGTAATTTTGAGGTAATCTAAAGAAGTCTGAAAGAAAGAGTTAGCAATTACTTTGAATCATTTCTTTAAATGGTTTCCATGAAATTTTCTTCAGGAAATTGCACACCTAATAAGAACAAATACCACAAGTTCAATTTGTTAGCTGCTCAAATGATGTCTTGGTCTAATTACTTTTAGTTTTCTTGAGTTTCTGCTGTCATTCCTTTTCTCCAGGTAAGGAATTCACAAAAAAGCAATGTTATGGGCTAAATTATGCCCCCCCCCTTCCATATGTTGAAGTCTTAATGCCCAGTACCTCAGAATGTGACTGTATTTGGAGATAGGGCCTTTAAAGAGGTAATTAAGGTTAAATGAAGTCATTAGGGTGGGTGCTAATCCAGTGTGCCCCAGTGTCCTTATAAGAGGAGGAAATCTGGACACAGACATGTGCATGCACAGAGGAAAGGACAGGTTAAGACAGAGGGAGAAGCCAGCCTTCTACAAGACAAAGTCTGCAGAAAAAATCAACCATGTCTTTCTTACACCTTGATCTCAGACTTCTAGCCTCCAGAACTGTGACAAAATAAGTATCTGTAGTTTAAGCCGTCCAGTCTGTGGTGGTTTATTGTGGCAAACAAATACAAACAGTAACAGGATTTTGCTTCATTGGCCTTAGAAATCTGAGTGGGTTGGTCAGCCATCAAGCAGGTATATATCAAATGCTTACTGGGTTTGACAAGTTTGTCACAAATTCCAATTATTAAAAAATAAGCTTTCAATGAAAATGAGGCAGCAAAAACTGGTTAATGATTCTCAGAACACCTATTTTCACAGTGTTCTTAGAGTTTCACCCCCATTCTGTTAGAAAAGGAGCTGTGGCGTATCGGGTAGACACCCAAAAAGACAATGAAGGGAGTCTTTGCCTCCCTTGGTGTCCTCATCTGTAAATTAAGAAAGCTGAGGTAGTTTCTCAGTCTTCCCAGCTCTTAACCGCTGTAATTTGGTAAAATGGGAGGCTCTGGATTTATTCATTCACTGAGTGCCTAACGTAGGGCAGGCACTGTTGTTGGCCACGGGAATACAGCAGGTGAACAAAACAAAGTCCCTACCTTCAGATGGCTTACATTCCACGGAGAGAGGACAGACTATAAGCAAGTAACAAGCTTAACTACCTGGTAGTACGTGCAAAGGGGAACTGGGAAGAGGGAACTAAAAACAAAAGCAAAAATCGCTAGGAAGTTTTTCACACCCTGCGAGAAAAGGATAAGGACGGGGAATTCTGGGTACCAGCGTGCAAAGGCCAGGGACTCAATGAGTGCGCCTGCGCACTGAGGTTTCGCGGACGGAAGGGCCTTCTCGGCGAACCTCTGAGGCGCATGCGCCGGGCTCGCGCGTGCATGAGCCTCGCGAACCAGGGAGCGCGCAGCCGGCGTCCGAGGCGGTTGGTATCCGGAGCTGCTAAAGGGCGAGTTGAGGTGACTTGCGGGAAGTACGCGACGACTGGACGACTCCGGGAGCTCTGGTTTCTAACACCGGAAGGGTCGTGGCGAACCCTGCGGGCCAGCTTCGGGACCCGTCCGCGTCAGGGCTCCAGGAAGGCCCGGCCTGCCTTCCCCGCGTGTGCCCACGTCAGGGC